GACTGGCTGACAAAACCTCCTTTTAAGGAATATTACCTAATGCAGAAAGATGCAGAATCGTGATACACAAACAGAATCAATATACAATTTACAAAACTAAAGAGAAATGCTGGAACACCTAATAATATGCAAATATATAATTCTCTCTATTCAAAATATCAGAACCAATATCGTTAAGTATGGCACTGGCATTTTTAAATAATTTACCAGACTCTTTTTGATAAAAGGAATATTTAAGTGCACACATTATCATTTGTAACAACATTTGAATTAGGTATAACATAATGATTTATGTGCATACATCTTAAATATATTGAATATATACAACTCAGGACTCATGATCGCTTTTCATTGTACAGAAACAACGGTGAAATTTGGCAGCACTCTGAGCTCTATGTATGATTAAATTGCCTACCTCAGTAGTATGAGGAAGGGCTTTGGAATAATTTCGTAAATATTGATCTTGTAAGCATACCACAGTGGATTGCGATTCCACCTTAGCCGTCGTAAATCTAACACGACGATAAAGGTGCAAATGAGATTCCACTGTCTGGAAAAGGACATGCAACTATAATCAGGGCCTATGCACCTGCCATAATTAATCCAGTTGAGATCAAGGACAAATTCTATGAAGACCGAATCGAGAAGTACAGAAGGCAGACCAGATCATCATCCACGGTGACTCCAATACTGGAGTTGACGCAGATCACCATATATGGCCAGGTGTCATCAGCAAAAATGACTTTGGTAAATACCTACTGATTTTCAACAAGGTCACCAGCCTGCAAAACGGTAATAAGGCGCCGTGGATGCACCAACACTCCAAGAATCTCAGTGACTACGACATAGACAGGAGAAAAGAAATGCAGGATGTTTGGGTATCAATGGCTATGACAAGTGCAGAATCATGGGCTGACCACTGGCTCGTAGTCTACAAGTTCAATATTTGTAGTCGGACTAGCAGTGGAAACCAAGGCAAAATAGCACCCATGAAACTCAATGTCTTCAAATTGAAACAGGAAAATACCAAAACGTACATAGGTTGAAGAAATGTGCAACTAACTAGAAAAAAATTGATGCGAACTCCAAGAAATCTGCGAAAAACTGAACATTCTTCAGAGACTATGTATTCGGTTGAATCCGAAACCTACCAAAAAAGGATACTACCATCAACAAACAAATGAACGTGAAAGTTCGGCTCCAAAAGTCTTGTTCAGAAGATTTCACTGTATTGTCAGAGAAGGCAGTCCTTCAGCAAGATCAGTAAGCCACAAGACTTATAGCTTGGTAACGATGCAGATGAGATGCAGTATTACACAGAGATGAATGACATGAAGAAGACAAACGATGGGCCACGTTCATCAGGGGCATATTCAATAACGAATGCTGACAGCACCAAACTGTTCATTAATAAATATAATATGCTACTTAGATGAACATAATAATTATACAGTATTCTCTATTAAAAATCATCTTTCAATTAGAAGGCATCTGATCTACTGTCCTAAATAGAAATTACTATTTCAATATTATGATCTATTTAATTTAGCTATTTCCTTAATTGATTTACAGTAGATGTTTGTAGCAATTTTAAATCACTGACAATTTCCCACACGTGAGTAAAAGAGAAATGGATATGTATTCAGTGTGATAAAGTTTATTTTTGGAAATGAACGTTTTGGAGGGACTATAATCTCTTAGTTATTACATTAAATTGTGTACATGACTGCATGCAATGTACATACCAGAAACTGCTTTTAATTCTGTTAATTATTTAGCTTTTCATCCAACATGAAACTACAACTGATTACTGATGATGTAATTGGAGTACGAGCTACTTCATTCACACAAAATATTTACAACGGTTGTTGCATTCAAACGAGCACAACCTCAATTCACTGATGACATTAATCTATTTTATGCATGGCCGTGAATTATTGGATTTTCCAAGCAAAATAAGTTATCATTCATTGGATAGAATTACGAGAAATACATTAATTTGAAACAGAAAACAAGATAAACGTGTAATAAAATGGTTGCATCGCGTTACAGCCTGTTACCGTTAAAATCTAACAAGGCGCGAATAATGTTTAGGTGTTTGTTTTATGTTCTTAATGTGCTATTTTACTTTGAATTTGGAAGGAAAATTGTGCAGCTGTTTAGTTTTTCTCTGTGGTTATTCACTACACACTGCTCAGGATAAATGGTAAACCATGGACGTCGCGCTGGATTCAGTAAGAAATATGCTACTTAATCTGTTCAACAGACTACACAGTACATCTTGCTAGCCAATACGTTGAAGCATACATGAAAATGAAAATTTGCTTGGTATCTAGTGAATAATGGATATATTCATCCCAAGAGTGAAAAACTTGTGTATTGTTGCCTACTAGATTAAGCATATCCGCTATTCACTAGTCGCAAGCAAATATCCTCTATATAACGAACTTGGCATTACCATATAATGTATAGCACTTCCTATTCACAGAACACAATTGCGTTGATTATATGCAACATTATTTAACATTTTTTATTACAAACATATTATATCACAAATCCAAAAATTTATAAATTTAGTTATGCTGGAATAGTTTTATCACTTAGAAACACGTACGTTACCGTTTTATAACATTTTCAAAGCTTGGTAGTTGTAAAAGACGTTTTTAATATTGTGGTTGTTGGAAGAAGGTTGACAGCTTCAACACGTTCTTGCTTTACGATTCAAGAGAGTTAGTCTATTGCAAAAAGATGCTGGCATCCGAATGTCGCCTTGTCAAATCTTAATCTTAATAGTATGTAAGTTTCACAGGTTGAAGTTTTACTTTTATTTTTGCATGAACCAGGCTGCTTGTACCTCCTAGGCGAAAGTAACCAACAACGTCTGTGTTACTCATTGCATATAATACTATGGATTGACATCGCATAGAAATGGAACTAGTGTAAAATTCTGTTACACCCATTACTACTAATAAAAAATATTTTTTCTATCCGAGTTTCCCATTACAACAAGAACCTAACAGATGTCTCTATTAAAGCTATCCCCCTCTTTCGTGAATATTAAACTTTTTTATTTTTTCTGATATTTAAGATATCTCTACGCAATCTGATCCATTAGATGTTTAATCTAAGGGCATCATAGTGTGGATTTGGATTGCAGTTATATACAGTTGGTTAATTAAGAAAACATAACATTAATGCTGTATGCCTTCAACTTCAAACTCATTCATACCCATCTCTGATCCATATGTTTCATTTATTAATGAATGCAAGGATGTTGTGATCAATCAATACAACAGTCGGAGAAGAAACTGAACTAACATACATTTCAAAATGGTGCAAAGACAATATAAAATCCAAACATTCATTCTCAACCGTGGAATATTGTTTCTGCTTTTTGTTCAATTTTTTTTTTTTGTAAATGGCACACTGGATGATCCATCCCATTGTTGTCTTCCTGTATCAATACTACATCAGCCTCAACATCACTTGCATCAACTGACATATTAATGATTGATTGAATTGAAATCTTCAGCTGAAATAATTGATTCACTCGTGATTATTGCCTTCAACTGATCAAAAGCCTGCTTACATTTGTCGGACCAATGAAACCGACTTTCTTGCCTGTAATTTTGCACACATACAATTTGATAATTAAAAGTTGGCTAAAGAACTTTAACAACATTAGTTTCCTCAAATGATGTGATATGATTATGATTTTTAACGTAGCTTTAACAATTTTTCAGTCATATCGCTACGATATATGCACTGTGGCAGTTTACATTGATGTCTAGCACTGGGGCATCATGCCACAGATATGTAGCATAATGTCCTACCCAGTCACATTATCCTGACACCAGGCCGACTAGTCCTAACACTAATCTCTTAATGCTGAGCGCCATGCGAGGCAGCTGTTAGTACCATTTTTGTAAGTCTTTGGTATGACTCGACCGGGGATCGAACCCACGACCTCCCGGATCCTATGCGGACACTCTAACCACTAGACCAATGAAGCGGTTTCCTCAAATGATGAAATTAGGGTCTGAACATTGTCAATAGAGATGATGATAACTCAGAATTAGTTTTTGTTAGTCACAATCGGTGCAGAGCAGTCAAAGGTGGTTGTTTGGCTCCCATATATTGATATGTTATATGCCTCACCTCCAAGACTCATGGTCTACGCTGCCACCCCAAAGCTTTAAGGAAATCAATGTTTTAATTTCGGAAGTCATTAACAGAACATATTCAATGAAAACCAAGATATTACATTTTAATGTGACGCCAGATTAAGCATCAAGACGAAATGCATATAAAGGATTTCTGATTGATGCGTTTGTTTGATTTTTCTTTCTTCTTTGTTGTTTGTTCTATGATGTTGTTGATCACGAGCTTGAGTGGTAAAAGATATCACTAGGAGCCTGTCATAGCCTAGCAACGTCTCTTGCTGAAGAACCAATACGGGCTTAATATCATATCATGTGAATTTATTTTCAGCACTATAACTGATGGGGAAAAGATTCCTGTGTGAAATGGAAATCATCAGTTGTTGATAATGAATTCAGGAAGTCTGCAAACGTCAAAAAAGATTGCTAGAATATAAATTAAACAATTTTGCTATCAACTTTAACAGGACATAAACTATTATTTGATATTATTGAAAGGAAAAGAAGCTACTGGAGTGTCTCAGAATAACCAGTTTTAAATTATAAAAAAAAAACTTTAAGATTTCAGTGCAAAGAAGCTACTTAAAATGATAAAAATAGAGAAATAACATCAAAGAGTTTTTTCTTTTAAAAAATGTTCTCCTTAGACTGGATTCAAATTAAACAGTAGCATTTTATACCGCAATTATACTGGTGACCAACAATTTAATATTCTGGGGTATGGGCCTAACACTTTTTTTTTTTAAATTCCGTATGTCATTAGCTGGAAGAAGGAAGAATATCCTACTCAGATGTGAAACAAAATAGCACCTTCTTGTATTCATGATATTATTTAGAATAGACAGCTCTGTTAGCCTAGTGGTTAGAGCGTTCGCCTTGAATGCTAGAGGTCGCGTGTTTGAACCCTGGCTTAGTCATACTAAAGAATTATTTAAAATTGTATTTGCAGTTGCTTAACTGGGCGCTCAGCATTAAGAGTTTAGAGTTAGGACTGGTCGGCCTGGTGTCAGGGTAATGTGGATGGGTGGGAGATTATACTACATGCCTGCAGCATGATGCCTCAGTGCAAGACATCACTATAAACTGTCACAATGCAGACATCGTAGCGATATGACTGACAAATTGTAAAAGCTAAGTTAAAAATACACACACACACACATACTTAGAAAAGTAATATTATCTCGAGAGAAAAACAAGAAATATTTCAGCTCATAATAATAAAAGCTGTCCGAATGATATGAAATTTAAGTATAAATGTATGGCAACAAAACTTTTAGAGATTATTTATTACTCTAAAGACTCAATTTATGTAGTTATATCACTGTTGCAACATTACTTTTTCTATCTTTAATGATCATCATCACAGTCGGTAGAATACTAACTTGGACGGGTGAGAGTGGTCTTTGAGCACCAGAACCCTTTTGGACCATCATTTACCCTTAGTACGCCACGGACCGCAGTTTCTTGCAATAGGGTATCGACAAGAGATGTTCTTAAATAACAAATTTTGTGAAATTGTCCTTTATAATAGAAGACCAAAAATGTGTTTATAGTTGATAACTTGTCATATGTTTGATCTTACACATGTACCAAACGGAACATTTATTTTTAATTTATGTGCAGTCTTTGTGCTTATAACTAGTTTTATTGTTATTTAAAAATCTATTCAAAACCAACACTTGTTGTTTCTTGAGGGCACAGTTACCATCATATGCATGTCTCGTGTATATAAATCACATATGTAAGATACATGATTTATGTACACGAGGCATATATGCATGTATATAGATTTTCAAGTTCACTTTTGTTTTATCCTTTATTCGTCGTCTTTCTAAACATACTTAATCTTTCCTTCTTAATGCTTTTACTCTAATATGCAACGACAAAATCAATAAAAAGATTCCTTATTAAACAGGCTCCTTCAAGACTGCTTCTTACCTTATAATTAGTCGTATAATGTTAAATTATTACATAATGAGCAATGACTATTTAACACAAATGAGCTTTTCAACGTTATATTACAATGTATAAAATTATCAAGTGTGATATTCATTAACAATGAAAGCATTTAAAAGCACTGTTGCAAAATCTGAAAGAAACGTTTATAATTTTATTCGGCCTTTGTTTTATTCGGAGTATATTAGGGTTGGTATGGCCCTGATTGCTCACTTTAATATTTAATTAATCTGTATACTCCAACTGCTTCTACTTGTTAGTGGCATACATCTAAGCCTATAAATAAACATTTCGAAGTCCGAAGTCTGAGTAAAGGACTATTCGCGTCGAATTAAATTAAGAGTCTAGTGTGACCTTATAAAAAGATTTTAAAACATTTGTCATTCTGTATTATTTTCTTTTATTTAGAGAGATGATACTATTTTAATCTCAGACTGAACAATCGGTGTATGTAGGTTCAATACGGGAAACAACATAAGTGGAATTGATGTATATTTATTTGGTATTGTTGGTTTTATATTATGGTTGAAACGATGTTTGATGATGCTTTCCATTTCTGAGAATATTTAGATCGGCAGCAAACTGAAAAGGTGTTAGCTGTGTGGTTCATATGCCGTCTTCTATGCCGTCTGAGAGGTGCATGCAACCAGATCAATTGTAATGCAATTATATGAGCTTATATCTACATTTTCAGGCATCTAAGCGACTCATTTTTTCAAAAGAAGCTCTTGATTTGTTGTAGGAACTTACCGTTTTCCAGAAGTATGGTATGCATTTCCTTGGCCTTTTCCTTTCGGTAAGGGCTTCTGTACAACTATTTTTTTTAAACTACAATTATAAAAATATAATATATATATATATATATATATATATATATATATATATATATATATATATATATATATATATATATATATATATATATATATATATATATATTATTATAAGATAATAATTGTACATAACCTATGAAGAGAAACATCGGCTGATGTAGACTAAGAATAATGAAGTTTAATATGCATCTATGTATGTACGTATCTATGTATGTAGGTAGGAAGGAACGTGTTTCTTTCATTTGTAAATTTTCATTTGTGAATTGCACTATCATACAGGTGTCGGTTGTGACATCTTTATTTAGCATAGATTTATTTAATAATATAATAATATACCTTTGTGTTAGAGCACAAATTGTATGGATTTAATTTTATACAAATAATCATTTCCCTCCATAGTAGTGAGTGAGGGCACTCTAGCCTCAATGGGACTTTCATATTAAAATAGGGTAAAGGCACTATAGACTCAAGAATTATAGCCTCATGTAGACTTACATGTTAGAATAGGGTCCCGACACTTTGGCCTCACAACAGGAATTTAACATGGAGCAGATTGGGTCTGTGTAGGATCAAGGGTTGCTGCTAAGCGAGAAAGATAAATCCTTTTAAACAGAAAATATTCACGTTCGGTGATTCTCAAGTGGTGTGCGATTGCAGGGATGTTTTACGCTGTGAACTCAGTGATTCAGTATCATATAGTGGGAAGTTTGGTGCAACTACTACGACAATATTATCCATGGAAAGTGATGATGTGCGTGTCAAACCTGATGGATGTGAAAGCGGTGCCACTCGCTACAGTACACCTTATCACTCTACTGGTTTTTATCCTCAACGTTATATTACTGTACAACTACCACCGTACGGATGTCATCCATGCCTGAGAAAATAATTTAATGTATTATCACCTCTTCGTCGAAATGAGCCTGTCAAAGAAAAATATTCGTTCCCTGTGCATTCGTCTGAATACTGCGACTCAGAAAGTCGATTCCAAACCTTCCAAGGAAAGTAGCCTAAATATTCTGATTCGCCATAGAAGAACGATCAGCTCTGTGCAAAAAGTACACTTATTTCCTCCGACAAAAAGAAATACAAAAATTTGCCACCATGCCACGACCTTTAACATTAGTGATACAACAATTCAGACTGGTGAGTTACGAAAGCTTTGTACGAGAACTGTTTCTAGTGGGTTTGGGCCTTCGTGTGGTGTGTGCCTTCCTTTGTTTTGTTTACCAGCTGATTCCATGTGGGCGTTTACGATCTGTACTGTGAAATACCATCCCCGAAAGGACATTCCGGGAGGACACCTATGTGGCGACCAAGTGTAGAGTCTCTAAGAATATTACAAACTGTCCCTAGGACACCACACCTTCGTTACAAAAAATGTTGAACAGTGTTTATTTATATTCCACATTGATCATTTTGATGAGTATTTTATCGATGATGTACTTCACCATTTGGCTTTCATTTATTTTTGTCTTTCGTGTTTAATTTGAAATAAACGTGTCCTGAAAAAGTATATAAACTCTTGAATTGTCTGTCTTCGTTTCAAAAGTGACATTCTCTGCACAATGGCTACCTCTGCTATCTCTACTCCCTCTTCCTCCACTTTCAACGTCGTCAAAGAAAATTTAGATCGTGCCAGTTGGGAGGCCTTGTGTCTTCATCATCCCATTAGCGTGTTAACTGCTGCATATTCGACATGTCAGAAGATGAATTAGAAATTAAACTGTGGTTTACACGCAAAGGGCATCATCGTAATGCCAGCGTCCGTTACATCACCCTAAATTTGTTTCAACAATGTAAAGCCCATAACACCATCAGTCTCATTGTTTATTTTAATGTCTTGTTTAAAATCCCTTGAAATAAATTGCAGGTGCAAGTGTTAGCAAACATGTAGGAACTCATTGACTAACTCATGTCTACTACGATGCCACTCAAACTTTTCACGCCCATTTACGTGTGGATTTATAACCCACCACCGCCGATTATTTGCGATTTTGTACCCATCTGTTTCAATCATCGACACGTTCTACGCCAAATGGTCAACAGAAAAAATATACGTCAAAATAAAAGAGATCGGTACAACGCGAAGGATTTGTGCACCTGTTGTTAGCACCAATACTAAAAGCCACATTGGCACCACTGAATACAAGACTCGTGGGAGCTGCTGATTCACAAGAGATAGATCAAAAATAAAAAGGATCAAAAAGGTAAGAGGGGTCTCTGGAGTCAAAAAATCTCAGACATGTCCTTTGGAATCTGAAGGAAGGACGACAACTGACTTTAGTGCCTTACAAACGATGGATTGAATTCCATCGTTGGCAAGAACACCGGATCCTGCATTTACCTACCAATCCTTATGTCTCGGTTACAATACGAATTATAATAGCTGAAAGATCACAGCGATTTGTCAGAAACGAAAAAAAATCGCAATGGTACGTCAAGTATTACAGCTACTTCAGCTCTGTTATCAGAAAACTTTAAACGAAACAGCTCACCCGACTATAAAAGAATTTAAGACCCTGATGAAAAAGTCCATTACCACCGCCACCACCCTATGTGACCAAGACAGAAAAAGGAGAATAGTTTAAAACTCCACCAGATAAAGTACACAAGTTAACAACACCAACTACATCAAGAATTGGTTGGACTAAGCAGATGATGGCAACCCCTTCTTCCACAGAAGAGAAAAGGAAGGTGAAGACAGAAGTTAAACAAGAACTGATTACCTTGTTCAGACATCCTCCTCGACACATATTGCTCTTCGGACACGCAAACCATTACAATCCGAGAAAACACCACACGGAAAAAAAGAGTAACATCCGTGAAGAGCGGGCGACTTAGCTTTAAAACGTCATAATGGAGAATGTGCTAACCAGCATCGTGCTTCCCGACTAAAAGGTGTCCGTTTACCTCAAGTTTAACGATGGTTACAAGAACAAGCCACGTACACCTTACACAAATCCATTCGACGACAATTGTCCAGAAATCACAACTGAGTGGATGGCATTGATCATCAATGGCATGCCGGTTTAGCGGATGTCTTTCATTTGACCACCTACAGTCGTGGCAACTAAAGTTTGTTTTGTGTGATCAACATCTTTTTCAAATTTTTTGGGGGGCGTGCC